ATAATCCTGCATCTGCAGCCCCATCTGATAGACTGAATGTAGTCCAATAGCCTGCACAACGTATAAAATATAAACTACATATATTACACTAAGTTACAATTATATAATTAACAATAACAGAAAACATATCAGAGCCTCGTGTCGCCCGACGTATGGAACGTATCGACCGCCAGCCTGATGAATAGGGTTCCTGATAAAAAGTCGGGTAACGTGGCGGTACCAGGACATATACCTCTCAATATCCACCTCCTGGATCTATGTAGATGGGGGCGGAATCATCTGATCTCGCTGGTCCCAAATATGGATCTGCATCGCTAACCGTGCATAAATGCGTCGTCCGCCCTGCAACGATCATCCCTCTGATAATGTCTAGACTCCCATAGGCCCCCTCGGTATATACTGCGGGCGGCCAAACTGGCGAAGTACCCGCTCCGAGGCATGATGCTCCATGATAACGAGGCATATGAGCGGGGCAGAAGTGCTCCAAATCAATCGGCCGGCCCAGCAATAAGCTGGCAGGCTAGCTATCAAATCATCATTGTATGGCGTCCAGATGAACTATCAAATAAGAACACAAAACGTGAGTATGTGCAACACTAAGTTAATCTATACAAGGTAAGTTTAGGTACATATTTACCTGTGCGCCCTCTAGCAGATCCAACACATCCTGCGGAGGGGGAAATTATGATGAGCATCATACTCTCGTGAAAGTGTACGGCAGAGAACGCACCTCCTGGCTAGAGGGAGTTCCGGAGGTGCTACATTAAGAGGTAATTGTGGTAGAGGTGGCTGAAACTGCAAGAACCGCTCCCAGGCCCAAACCTAACATAGAAAGTTGACATCAGGTTTAAGATAAATTCTAACTAGGTAGAGTTGGAACTGATAAACAGATTATTCGAATATGTTGTCACCTGTAGAAGCAGCAGAAAACCACAAACATCTCTCTGAGTGTCCATGCTCGCCCGACACATATTCCTGTACATGTAGGCGAGAACAGCAGCACCCCAGCTGTAATAGGGTAACTCATCTAGCAGCTGAATATGATGAAGAAATCTCAGGCTGACTAGGTTCCCCGAAGTGTTCGGGAACAAGACCCCTCCAAATAGAAGAAGCAACAACAACCTCGTATATCGGGTAATATGTATCTCCTCTATATTGTCGGTGATAATGGGGTGGAGTACCTCCAGGTACTGTCTAATAGGGGTCAAAGACAACCGACTGGCACCCGACGAAAATGTCTCGTCCTGTGGCCTGAAACCCGTGAGTTGCTGCAGCATGTCCAAATAATAATCGCGCGACATAGATCTCATAGTAATAGGCAGTGAAACGGCCATGCCATCAACGAACAGGCCATATAAAACCTCCACGTCCTGCAGTGTGATGGTAGCCTCGCCAATGGGAAGGTGAAAGGTGTGCATCTCCGGTCGCCACCGCTCAATCAATGCCGTAATCAAAGCCCAGTCGAGCTGCATCCGCCCGATCTCAATAATCTTATAAAATTCTGTATCTTGTAGGCGCTAGACTACACGCTCGTGGAGATCTCCGGGCCTCAAAAAATCCCACAGGTCGTCCACTCTCCTAGCGCGGAGAGTCTGGGACAGTAACTCCCCGTCCCATATATGGGCGGACCTATGATTGCCCTGTAGCACTAATATCTCACGAGAGTAAGGGCCGGGATGTATAGGTGGCGCGTCCATGTCGTCAACTGTAAATTAAACAACATTAATTGTATGTTTAATTATTTAATTGTACAAAGTATATATACCTATTGGGTTCCAGGCTCGATATTTGAGGCCCAGTAGCACCAAACTATCATGAATAATTATGTGTGTCAAATTCAATATTTTGATAATTTTGTGTGTGTTTGTTTTATAATTTAAATTTTTAATTTTTAATTTTTAATTATACTAAGTATATATACCTATTGGGTTCCAGGCTCGATATTTGAGGCCCAGTAGCACCAAACTATCATGAATAATTATGTGTGTCAAATTCAATATTTTGATAATTTTGTGTGTGTTTGTTTTATAATTTAAATTCTTAATTTTTAATTATTTAATTGTACAAAGTATATATACCTATTGGGTTCCAGACTCTCGATATTTGAGGCCCAGTAGAACCAAACTATCATGAATAATTATGTGTGTCAAATTCAATATTTTGATAATTTTGTGTGTGTTTGTTTTATAATTTAAATTCTTAAATTTTAATTATTTAATTGTACAAAGTATATATACTTATTGGGTTCCAGGCTCTCGATATTTGAGGCCCAGTAACACCAAGCTATCATGAATAATTATGTGTGTCAAATTCAATATTTTGATAATTTTGTGTGTGTTTGTTTTATAATTTAAATTCTTAATTTTTAATTATTTAATTGTACAAAGTATATATACCTATTGGGTTCCAGGCTCGATATTTGAGGCCCAGTAGCACCAAACTATCATGAATAATTATGTGTGTCAAATTCAATATTTTGATAATTTTGTGTGTGTTTGTTTTATAATTTAAATTCTTAATTTTTAATTATTTAATTGTACAAAGTATATATACCTATTGGGTTCCAGGCTCTCGATATTTGAGGCCCAGTAATACCAAACTATCATGAATAATTATGTGTATCAAATTCAATATTTTGATAATTTTGTGTGTGTTTGTTTTATAATTTAAATTCTTAATTTTTAATTATTTAATTGTACAAAGTATATATACCTGTTGGGTTTCAGGCTCGATATTTGAGGCCCAATAACACCGAATTATCATGAATAATTATGTGTGTCAAATTCAATATTTTGATAATTTTGTGTGTGTTTGTTTTATAAGTTAAATTCTTAATTTTTAATTATTTAATTGTACAAAGTATAATATACCTGTTGGGTTCCAGGCTCGATATTTGAGGCTCAGTAGCACCAAACTATCATGAATAATTATGTGTGTCAAATTCAATATTTTGATAATTTTGTGTGTGTTTGTTTTATAAGTTAAATTCTTAATTTTTAATTATTTAATTGTACAAAGTATATATTTTCATCTACCAATATAAGAAATACTTAAACTACATGGATTCTACGCTAAAATACTCTACAGTTTACTACGCTAAAAGGTTCTACATTTTACTACGCTAATAAATAATCTAAACTAAATATAAGCAACAAAATACATTTTAATCACATAACATTCACAAAAATACATATAACATACTAGTTTCGCAAAAATAAAACACAAACCGACATGGAAACAGTAATATCTAAATCCTGATATTAACAGAAAAAATTATTTCTCAATTTTACATTTTTTTAGAACACTAATATCTAAGTCCGGATAAATATAACATACTAATTTCGCAAATAAAGCACAAAACGACATTGAAACACATTCAATCAACTAATAAATATGCATTATTATATAAGTTTCAACATAAAATAAATCGAAATACCTCGATGTAGTGTTTTGTGTGAAAATTTGAGTCCGAACGAGTGAAACCACAATAATACGATGCTCTACTACGATGTGGGACCTACGTTCTTAACATTTTATGTTATGGGTGGGCCCACAATTTTTTTTTAAAGAAGACGATGGGGAGGGGGGACCAGAAACTGGTTGAAGTAAAAAAATGGGGGAGGGATCGTTCTGGTCGGGGAAGAAGACAAAGGGGATTATTTAATTAGGGGTATAGCGTGCTGTATTTGTACGCTATATATAGCGTAAAAATACAGCACGCTATACCTGTATCAGTCAAATGTCAGTATATATAACGCCAAAACACACCACACTATACCTTAACAGCAAAAGTTACCGTTAAGGTATAGCGTGGTGTGTTTTGGCGTTATATATATAAAGTTAACTTTTATTTTTACACTTATTTACGTATCTTTTGTCCAAAAAGACAATAAAAAGGTTCCGGACTCCACATATACCCATTAGTACTTTGGTAGTTCCATTTCTAGCTATAATAAATAAGACAGCCAGAATGTGCTTGTAGTTTTTCACCTCGTAGAATCTCCGTTCGGTCTCTTTCATGACCTTATTGTAAAGCTATTTAATGCATTCAATAAAAATAATTATTTTCCATTTAGGTGTACCATAACAATTAAAAGAGCTGTTAAATCTACTATTTTATCCTCCCAAATTAGCCCTTCCAGATGGATCGTCTACAAGAGTTATACTTGTACCAAATTATATATCATGATTAAAAGTACAAACGGATGATTCGGGTCGGATGTGTGTGGGTCGGATATGGGTGTATAAAAATGGACAATTTATCAGCCCGACCCATATTTCCATATATTTAATACAAATAGAAAATGAGTTAACCGACGGATAATATGGATATCCATATTAGTGTGGCTTCTTGAATATGATCACTTTTAGGAGAATTTTTAGTCTCCCAAACTTGAGAAAGTCCTAATTTGAGTCTTTGGAAATATAAAAGTTAAACTCATTGCTTATCCAATATTGAATGGATAATATAGATCTTATCCATATTTGACCAGTTTTTAAAAAGTTCATTATCCACTCCATAATATGGGTGGATAACTTTTTTTTTTTATCCATTTTGCCACAAGTAATCATGATTAGTATACATCATACCAAACGACTGTGCTTTATAACTGCTTACAGTAAATAATGTGTATATAATTACTTTGTGCCAAAAAGCTTTACACAATTGGGAACATGAAGGTTAAACTCTTACAAGATGGCGGCTTGGTTTGGATTTTAGGATATATAATCTCCACATATAAAAATTTTATAATGAAAATGAAAAGTACTACATCAAAGAGAATTTTAGTATTGTAAAATATAAAAAGAATGTTATTTGCTTTCAAAAGAACCAAGTCACCCAAGTATTGGAGCATACAATCATCATTACTGCTAAGCCAATGGACCTTCAGAATAATTAAAGCAACTCTTTCCCACCTTCAGAGAATCCTAGGAGTTTTAACACAGTTTTGTGTCATCCCAAAAGAAGTTCAAAACATATGCCAAATAGAATGAAGGAATTAATATTTAAGGAGCTAAAACCTCATATGTAAGTAAATATTCATGGCTCTGCTGGGAAAGACAGCCTTTATTGCCAGAGTAAATAAGTTTATCATACAGAACTAAATGAGAATACATAAGACTGAGCTGCTATTAAAAATGAATGGTGACTTTGCTTCTGATGCTCGAAAAACAGAAGCCATAGATGTATCAAATAAAAAGGTTAAGCTGGGGAGAGCGCGGTGCACAATGATTTGTATGCAGTAACACAAGATTTGAATTTCTCTTCTGCTGCTGCCTGCACAAATGCAATGACTCATCTTGTGAGGACTCTTGAGAATACAATAATGAGTAGCTAAATCTTAGAACAGAATAATAAAGTTCCAATACACAGGCATTGACACCGAAAAAGAAGGATAGGCTAATGCATTGCGCTGTAAAAGATAAATCTTTAGTACAAAGCAAGTTATCTGTAATTGGCTAATGCCTCCCGTGCCTCCCTCTGATTTGCACTCGCAAATATGTTGAATATGCCAATACTAATTTCAGTTTTTAGACGAGTGAATTTGTTATGGATTAGAAATGCCTCAGTAACAGACAACCATCACGCTATGTCAAATAGCTGCTTTATATGTTGCTTCAAATTCATGACATGTTTCTCTCTCAATGAATCCGACTAGCAGATGATGGACTGCTTGAAACTAAAGGCAGCAAGAATGCACTCTATGGATCACCCTCGTCACAATTACATTAATTTAAAAAAACCATTCATTTTGCAAGGGTTTTCACAAGCCAGATCCATGAACAGCAATGATGTCTCTACCGACCATTTTTAATACATACTTCAATATATTTCCTTTTGACCTCCTACGAAATGCTCCTCTTTTAATAAACGCTAAAAGAATATAACTGGTTCTTTCAAGAATAAGTTTATCACATAAGAGGAGAAAGAAAGGAATTATATAACAAGCTGACCTGTGAAGGTCCTTGATGTTTATCAGGATGCCATTTCAAAGCTGATAAACGGAAACTGCAAGGGAAGGTCATAGTGTCTCTACATTAGTTTTTATTATATCTTGAGTATGTAATAAGGAGAGCACAAAGCTTTCAGAACTTACGCATTCTTGACATCCTCAATCTTCAGAGGACCTTTTGGGGGCAAACCAAGAATTGTTCTTTCAGAGTAAGAACCTACATTTGAGGATCCATAATTGGATTCCCGCTCAGTCTCATGTTCAGTTTCATTATCCCATCTGCAATGCCTTCTTTCTGACCAGTCTGTTTCTTGTCTTCGGGAAAATAGGTCTTCAAAAGCAGATGATTTACCAGGCTTAAAAGACCAAGTGTACCACTTATTACCAAAAGTTGCTTGAAATACTGTCTCAGGATATTCATCAAAGTCTTCATCTAAACTCCATTTCTTCATTTTTCCTAAAAAGAATAATTAACAGGTCAATAAATATATTACCTACATCCTTTCGTAAATTAGTTCTTACCTGCATATGACCATCAGTCATGTAAAGATAGTAAAGACTAACAATAAGAAAGCTTTTTGACAAGTCAAATTTCCATCTTTTCTTTAAAGAAGTATAAATGCAAATGTTACATTGAGCAGCTCAAAGTCTTGCAATACAACTCCTACATGGAAAAAATGTAAATCTAGGCTGGTCCATCCTATTTTATGCAGTACTATAGCAGCCAACCCAAAGCCAATAAGCCATTTTTTATTTGGAAGACAAGTGTTGCATTCAATTCGAAAGGCATGGTTTTCAATATGTCTATTCAAAGGAACCCTACTAGTCCAGCTAGCAAGTGAGAAGTAAAGGAGCTTTAGGAAATACTATCCCAGCTCCAAACAAGGAGGGCCTATCAAATTAGGACAAACCACCAAAATCCAATAGGAATATATGTTTTAGTTCATCTGGAATTTCAGAATCTTTAGAAGGGGCCAAAAGTAAAACACACTGATATTTATCACAGGGAGACATAAGATTTTTCATTAGACAGTGCTAGTCAAAGCAGAGAAGCTAATAGTGAATTGGGAGTACAAGCTTACGCATCCTTCTCCTTATGCGATCTCTACGACGAGCAGCGGACTTAAATTGACTTTTCTTCTCTGAACGATCATCCCGATCCACATCCCATTTATCATTTATTGCTGAAGATTCATTCTAGTAAATTGTTCAAGAAGAAAATAGCATACCATAAGTATAACAACTTTAAGGTAAAGTAACGTGAAATCAGAATAGATTCTAATATAAATAGAGTGCTTGCATGCAATTGATCAGGTACTAAAGTTCAGAAGCTGAACACATCATAACATGTAGGCTTTAAGCCAAAAAAGTGGACATTCATGCCTTGGACCACAGAGGAAGTTACACCAGTACACTAAAGTCGACCGAAACTTCCCATGAACACAGAAAAGGTGCATTGGGGGAGAAAGGGATGCAATAGAGAACTAAGAGAAACTATACATGTTATGAGCTATAAGCGAACGTTTCAACATTGCTTATATTTTATCCATCTTTTCCTTCTATATACTAGGTGATTCATCTTACTAAACTGAACTTGTTTTATCCTCATTAGACCTTGAGACTCTTTTCCTTTGATCATTGTATGGCTAGATGTTAAAATTGCACAAATGAGGAGTTCCCCAATGTATCTTCCTTTAATCCTCCTAAGGAGATAACTTATTCGCTTCAAAGCTGACACATCACAAGTGAGGATCCTAGACAAAAGACTTAGCTCCCGTTTGGCCATAGATTGTCTTAATTTTTTTCAAAAATGAAAACAATGTTTGTTTATGAAATATGATCACGTTTTGGGAAAAAAAATTCAAATATTTTCAAGTTCCTAAAAACTGGTTTAGGCAGTTTTTTTGGGTAAAATTTTTTCTTCCACTCACAAAACTTTAACTTTTCTTCAAATAAAATGCATGTCCAAACACAATTTCAACTTTCAAAAATTATTTTTCAATACAACTTTAAAACTATTTTTCCAAGTTTTAATCAAATCCATATCCAAACACTAACTAAAGCTTCTGTGGTTGATTAGCAGGCAGAGGTTCTTACATTACATGAACAGAGACTTCAAGCGTCACATTCAGAATCTCCCTGCAGTTCATTCCGAAGTTAGTATTTTCATGTAGATTACTGGAAAGAGAATCTGTCAGCTTGGGCTGCTGCTTGGTGATTTTTCTATTGCACTGGTGACACCTTTATTAGTGACGGGCTGTTTGCTAGCTGGAGCCAAAGTCGCAAAGGAAGAGGAAAAAACCTTTATAAATCATTCTAAGCTCATGTATGGTCAGTATGGAGTATATGTCTGGAAGAAATACGGAATATCAAGGGATAAAGGCTTAGTCATGATGGTGTGCCTATATTAGGTTCAATATTTGCTAAGAGTCTTTTTAGTCCGTTTAGAGGTGTGTTTTTCATGAGAGATTGTAGAAAACATTTAGTGTTGGAGAACCTCTAAGTTATTGAATATTGGAATGAAATTGGTGCAAACAGCAAAAAATGAATTATGAGGATTCATATAGCTGAGTCTACTAGCTCTGTATTGAAGCATAGTTTTTCTTGTTGGTTCTGATAACACTATTTTGTTTGGTGCAAATAAATTTCTTCCTTACATGATGATGCCATTAGCTTCTTGGAAGAGGTTTCTTTCTTTAGTTGATTCTCTCAGTTGACTTTTTGCTTTGGTTCACTTTTTGGAGGAACTGGTTCCTTGCTTCACAATGTGGGTAGTAATTGTTTCTTTTGTACACCGGTGCACATGGGAATGCAACCTTGGTGATAATCTAATGATATCACCTTTTATCTATCAAAAAAATACAATCAATTAATCTTCAGTGTTCCAATATACATAGAAACTCCAATTGGGGATGCAGAAGATATAGCCAAACTTATCTTCAGTGTTCCAATATACAAAAATGACCTTGCATTCAATGTTTAAGGTCCGTGTAGCAATCTAGGATGTATTCATGTCTTTTTGGAAGATGTTGTCCTTGATAAATATGTACTGTTTGGTTATTGTCATATGCTAAGTTTCAGCCAAAAAAATAACAGACACCAAAAGGGGAAAATGAGAGTGTAAGTCGCCCCACATGAAAATATTTCAACTCTTACTTCATATCACTTACTTCAACTACCAAGTAAATATTACTGTCAACCTTCAATACTCAGAATGACACCCCATACCACTTCTATTGTTTTCTCAGGTCACCTACCTTATGTCCAACAAAACATCGGAAAATAATTCAGAAAACAATCTAATCCAAAGAAATTATTTTAAATGAAAAGCATTTAATATCACTCCATAATAGTAACAGTTGATGTGTTATGACTAAGATTAAGATTTGCCTCATCTATGAAAGGAAAAAAGATTAATATTTACCTCAAAAGAGCTTTCAGATGCCCCATAAAAGAGAAGATTTTTCAAAGCTTTTTTTGAGTCAGCACGCTTTTGACGTGTTGCATATCTAATATAATTCTGAAAAATAAAGAAAATGTAAGATTATAAATAAGCAAAAGAGAACGAAAAGAGAAGTTGACAGATATATAACATGGAAAAAAAAGAAATGAACAGGAAAGTATCTAACCAACCAGAGAAAAGTAAGTAAAAAATCTCACAAGGATACCGCTAATCCTAAGATTTTTCACTCCCTATACTACTGGAAACTGGTAAAGATATTTACCTTAGTTGGCTGCTGACTTCCACTAAACTCCTGCAGGAACAATTTATGAAAGTCACATACGAACTGTAGAAAATATTGCTTGGAATTTAAAGTAACAAGCATGGGAAATTTGTGGTGAATGAGAAGAAAATGCTAAAACTGAGCTCAGAAACACAACAAATTCCTAATATATACCGGACTCGATGAACAAGCATATTGAAACTATTCTTTTGGGGATAAGGGAGTGTACTGACACTTAATATACAAGCAGATATAGAACAACACCACCTCCTCCCCATCCCAAACCAAGGAAACATAGAGGGGGAAGAAATATAGTCCATTCTTGGTGGAAATTTAAGCAAATATTTTCTAAAGAGTGATTGACTTGATGCACATCTCTAATTTCTAAATGCATTCCGCAGAGTAGAGTTATACTAACCAAAGAAGATGAAATCCTTACTCAAGTTATGGAAGCATAACAAGACTCTTGATAATTAATATAACAAGCAATCTAGTTTAACCTTTTAAAAGAGTAATCAACTAATATCTAATTATTTTATTTATCTTATCTCTTTTAATTTGAAGAATAGACAATGTGCAAAAACCTTTTTGTACTATGTTGAGGGAGATTTTTATTTTATTTTATTCTCCACTTCAATTTATAAATTACAATATTACATACATCACTTAATACTAACAACCCGTGCCGCCAGCCATGAAACTGGGAATAGAATATGACTTATACCTTTGATTTCTTGACAAATTCCTGATTTCGGCTAATGAGCTGGCCCCTAGAGATGGGTAAACAGTCTAAGCAGATAAGACAAATTGAGTGGGAGAATGCAAAGAGAGTTCCTGAGTATATATCTTCTATGCATGATTGCCTGAGCAATTCTAGTGACTAACGTGAGGTGACATCATTCAGTGTCCTCCGAAGATTCATAACTACTGGAAGAAAATGGAAGAAAATTGTGAGCAAGCCTCAATGTGTTTATAACGGACCTCTTTTGCACCAATAAAGGGAGTGAAGAGTTCCTATTAAACAAAAGGATCAGATTGTCTAGACCACGATAAATTGACAGCATAAGCCTTGTTGACTTAAGAGAAGGCAAATTGGCAGATTACCATCTCCAAGGCCTCTTCCTTTGTGGTACACATAATATTACGGAATATCAAAAAATATTTCTTAATTTGAAGCGATACAATTTATACAGGTGCTTAGACCTACATATCTTTGCTCTCACATAGAGGTGCTTCAGTTTGTCGGTGCAAGGAATAGAATCAGACAACTATTATCTATTAGTAGATCAATTAGAGACAACTTGGTAAGCGATTTAGTGGCTAAGTGGTGTGGGTGTAAAGCCACTAAAGATGAGTGGAGACTGAAAGGGGGAAAATGTAGCACGTCAAATTGCTGAACTATTTCAAATTTATTTAACTACTTTTAAAGATGAAGGTTTCAGTCTCTGCCGAAGTCATTTCAGAAGAACATTTTGAAGACAAGAAAAACTTAGTTAACTGATTCCACCACAAGCTGTTAACTCTCAAGTGATCATAGGATACCTTCACATGAAATAAGATTGCTTATTTCCTAGCTCTAAACCTGTTAAGAGGTAAAAGCTTATGCGCTCTCCAAAACTTTTGAAGAATATATGTGATCTACATAAGAAAAAAACTCAGAACACACAGACTGAAAAGGTTACCATCTCTTGCAAATGAAAATTTACAAACATGAATGCCATTGTCCACAAAAGTTCTGATACAAGGAAATTAATCGCCATGAAATCTCATAATTTTAGCATAAGCAAAAAAATGCAGTGAAGCTATTCTAAATGACCTCAAGCACCTCTTGAGAGTGATACTTGCACTTTCCCGACGAAATAATTGCAAAATGTACATACTATTGAACCCCAAATAAAATTGCACGAATTCCCAAGACCAGTTATACCCTCTTCATATGAACAGGGACAAGGTAGAGATGACTGAAGCTATTGCAAACTAATTCTCTTCTATTATATAATTCATCAACATTGAGCTAACTCTTAACAGAGGAAAAAACAGCTTCAAACACAACAATCAAAAAAACAAAAACCTAATCTCTTTTCAGTAATTAAAACCTGTATATCTCCTTCTTTTCTCAATCCAGGATTCATTACTCAACTAGCAAGTACTTTGACTAACAATGGAAAAGGAAAAAAAAAATACTATCTTCTCTCACATTTTACTCCAATTATAGCAAGTTCAATCAATAATCTAAAACAACTTTGAGATATATTTTTTATGCAGCTACAAAAAAAATGAAATAAACAAATACTGATGCAGCTAAAACCAAAAAGGAATTTACTTCTGCAGCTACAACAATCAAAGATCAAACCTTTTTTCCATTAGTGTGTCATATCTTAATTAAACATCAATTACAGAATAAGTGATATTGTCCAAAAAAGCAGAATTCAGTTTCTGACCAAAGTCTAAAAAGAACTCACAGAATTCCACTTATTTTTCCATTTCTCGGAGCAAATTGATGTAGAATGGAAAGAAGCCAAATGGGTATTTGTTGATTGCGTAGAAGTTACAGCTTTTGTGGAATGAATAAGTGCATTCTTCAGGATCAAAACGTTACGCCATCTGGGTATTACTTGCATTTTCTTGAAATGGCAGAGATATTTTTGAAAGCGACCAAAATCAAATACTAAAAAAGGCAAAAGAATGAGCTTTCTGAATTTTTTGTACGAGAATGATATTTATAATAGTTGCTTGCAAGTGAGAGAGACTACGCGGAAAGAAGGTAGGAGCTGTTTTTGGGGAAAACAATGTAGTATAAACAACATCGGACCACGTTTGACGCTTCACCTTTTGCTAGGGAAGAAGTATGGGCTCGATCCTTGGGCTTGGGTCATTGAGCTTTTGACTCTGCTTTAAGACGCAGCTACTTTTTAATAAACTTTACATCCATAGTAAGTTAACGTCTCCATTATTAAAATCACCATTATTGCACAGCTTAAAGAAGTGGATCTTGAACTTTAAACATGAAATATGAGTTTAAATCTTGAATTTTTAGGTGTTTTTGGAAAAGTTTATTTTCTTCTTCCGACAGCTCTTATACACCATCTAAAAATCACCAACATTGCAAGTTTGAATAAGTGAGTCTTGAATTTCAAATATGAAATGAGTTTAAATCAAGTGAGTGTTGTAGGAAAAGCTTGAAAATATTAGCAGAAATAAAACTGGCTATATAAACTATTGTAGTTTTGGCATATTATCAATGTCTAAAATTAGGCTTTGGCAAGCAAAATTCAAACGCATATGTTTGAATTTTTTAAACTCATGCATATGAAGTTGATTTAAAATGGCTAAATTTGCAAACATTTAGGAACTTGGCTATGACTTAAATGGGGGTCTTAAAATCGGCCATCTGTGCATTTCGCTATATGGGCTCATACTACTCTTAGGATTGTATTAGAGGACTAAGGAAAGAGATTTTTATTGGAATTTTTACCTCATATAGCAAAGGTTAACACCTTATTTATTTTAAATAAATATCATTTTAAAAAATTATATTCTATAGATATCTTTTAATGTTTATAGCAAAATATCTAATTTTAGTTACCTCTTACCCCTAAGCCACTAAATACACTATTCAATTACACTATTTCCTTTCTCTCTCTACTTTGATACATGTCATTCTCTTCCCCCATTCCCTGAAAACACAATGCTCAATCTCAAAATTTTCCTCACCCACATTACCTACCATTAGTAACAAAAAAACCACGCTCTCTCCTCTCTCCTCTCTCTCTAGGGCGACATGGTGTAGTATAGGCTGCCATAGATTCACAACCCTCTCCATCAAGTTAACATCAGAAGGGTTAAGGTTGAATCTCAAGAGCCTTTGTTTGAATCTCATTTCCGAATCTGTCGCCTATGTTGTTCGCGAAGAAATCACTGTTGTCTATTGCCTCAGCAGCAGTTAAGCCCATTGCTATTGATAAGGCCACGCAAGAAAGGTCTAGACCTAGCACAACCAGGGTTAAGGTTGAACTTGATCTTCAAGGAAAGCTGCCACAATATACGAGGATTCAATTTGTTGATGATAAAGCTGGGAAGTTTATCGAGCATGTCTAGAAATTTAATTTGGGGCTGAGCAACTTGGTTTTCTGTTAATATATTTCAATGTATTTTTAATGTATCACGTTGTATTTTCATGTATTTCATTGTATTCATTGCCTATTTTTTCATTGTAATTCAATGTATCTCGCTATATTCCATGTATTTCATTGTATTCACTGTCTTTTTTTCATTGTATTTCAATGTATTCCGCTGTATTCTATGTATTTCATTGTATTCACTGTCTCGTTATATGCCATAAATGTATTCATATGTTTTTTTAATTAATATAATTTATGTATTCAGATGTATTATATAATTTCTCTGAAGATTGCTATGTTTTTTGGGGTATTTTTCGGTTGAGAATCTTTTTTATAACTGGAAATACAAAATTTGTGTGTTGAAATTGAGTTTGTTGAGTTATATTAGGAGTCGATTATGTTAATTGATTCACTTTCCGTTTAAAATAAGTGTAATCCCCTATTTCACGCTGTGAATACAGTCGAATACAATAATCTGTCCAGCTGTAATCCCATGTTTCACGCCATGAATACAGTCGAATACAATAATCTGTCCAGCTGTAATCCCATGTTTCACGCCATGAATACAGTCGACTACAAAAATCTGTCTAGCTGTAATCCCCCATTTCACGCCTAGAAATGCTACTGTATTCATGAATACAATAGCTTAAATACATCAAATACATCTTACAACAATAGAAAACGTATCTACAATCCGTAATATAGCAAATGGTATTTTATAGATAGCTAATTACCACTAAAAATAACGCTTTATGAAAATTTCTCATTTTTATTTAGGGAAACTACCAGCTATATCCATTTATAAGTAGCTCATTACAAAAAATTGGCCAATCATAAAATATTACTAATATTAGCCAATTAGCTATTTGTAGCAAAAAAAAAGTCAAATTTTTGCTTTCTTTTGAGTGAGTTAGAATAGATTGGGTACATCTGAAGGAGCTTGAGGCCTCATTTGTTTGCACTTAATGGAGGTCTAAATCTTAATCATTCAGATCTCAGACATTAAATGCGTTTGTTTTTAAAGTTTGAATCTTAATTATTCAGATCTTAATCATTAAGTGTGTTTGTTTTCACAACCACTTAATGGGTCTGAATAGGTCTGTATAATTAAGATCCATAACAGAGACTTAATTTCATTAAGATGCTATCATCCCATATTCATTATTAACTACCGCAATCGTCTACCATTATCAACAACCACCATGTCACCCACCACCACCATACTCAACCACTACCACCACCATTCTCCATCATAGCCACCACCATTGTCGACCACCACCGCCCACCATCCCTACCACTCCCACTACCATCATTCTCAACGACAGCCAATACTCATCCACCTTAACTACCACAACTAACCACCCCATCATCATCAACAACTATAGCTAGCTCTGCCCATCATTATAAACTACTACCACCCACCGCCATCTTTCTCAATCACAACTACCACCACCCACCACTATTAACTTTCACCATCCATCACCATCATCCTCAATCATAATATATACCACTACCAATCACCACTAGCTACTACTAAACTGCCACCATCAACCAAATCTACCACCAATCACCACTTTTAGTCGACATTCACAAGTACTACCGTTAGCCATCACCACCAGCAACTACCATATTTTAAAAGCTATATATTTAAGTAACGGAATATTAGATTAATTAGTATTTTATCTGAATTTATGTTTATTAATTTTCAAATAAATATAAATTTTATACATTTAGATGTTAACAATCAAATAATCTTAATTATTTAGTATTCATATCTTAATACACATCTTAACATTCAAATGTGTATTCAGATTCAGATGTCTTAATCTTAATACACATCTTAACATTCAAATGTGTATTCAGATTCAGATGTCTTAATCTTAATACACATCTTGATATTCAGACGTGTATTCAGATTCAGACGTCTTAATCTTAAAAATAAACAAATGAGACCTGAATCTCAGTTTTGGGATGATTTGGTGAAGTTTTGAGGTGGTTTGAATTGAAAATTCGAAGTAAAAACTGAACATGAAAAAAAGATGTGTATCACACTGTATATCATTTGTGTATCACATATGTATCATATTTTTATCAATTATGTATCACATGTATATCTGTGTATGAGATACATGCATGATACATGTATCGCAGAAGAATTTTTTGACCTCGATTTAGTTACAAATTTTGATACAAAATCAGTCCAAATCACCTCCAGTCTTCCTCAAATTTTGTATATTGACTTATCTATATGTTTTCAATGAATTTCAACTACACCCGTTGAAAAAGTTCCTTTTTTGCTTATATTTTTGGAATATTGCATATTTTTTTTGTATTTCATCACCTTATTTGCTACCTCATTCATGAAATTTCCTTTCTGTCTTGCATCTAATATTGCTAATCACGCTTAAAAATATGGAAGAAGATTTTTGCATGTGATTCTTTGAGAGAAAGAACCTTATTTATTTGTTTTTATTTTTATTTTTATATGTACTTGGCTAGTTTTGGTAAGTCTATAACTAATGGCTTGAGGTTGGTAAGTTGAGACTTATTTGGGACATTTGTGTAAGTTTTTCTTTTATTTATAAATGCTACATTGTAAATTTATTTACCCCTTTTTGAGAGGTTATCACTTAGGGATTTTTACATACCTATACACTATTGGAAACTTTATTACCCTCCCTACTCAAGTTTTAATTTAATTACCTCCTATATACAAATTTACCAATTATATACACTTTAGGAATTAAACGAGTATCCTTTTATAATAGGAATAAATTATTTTCCGTCCTTATTCACTATCCCTCATGCGCTTTCTCTCTCCATCTCTCTCTCTCTCTCTCTCTCTCTCTCTCCTGCACTCTCTCTCTCACTCTACGTCTCTCTCTATCTCTCAATTCCCTAATTCCAGTAATGTAGAGCAAAGGAAAAGAGAGAAGAAATTCCACCATTGACAACCATTAAAAAACTTTGAAGCTTTGAATTCGAATTTGGGTTTTCAAAAATATTATTTGTTTGAATTGGGTGTTATTGCAAACAATTGGGGATTCTCTCTATGTCTCTCTCTATCTCCCAATTCCTAATTCCAATAATGTAAAGCAAAGGAAAAGAGAGTAGGAATTCCACCATTGACAGCCATTAAAAAGCTTTGAAGCTTTGAATTCGAATTTGAGTTTTCAAATATCATTATTTGTTTGGATTGGGTGTTGTTGCAAACAATTAGGAATACGATTTGGAGTTTATATCTCAATTTTGAGGGTGTTTTGGTGAAGATTAGACTTAATTTTTGCTAAATTTCAGATTGAAACTCGAAGAAGAAGAAGACGAAGAAGAAGAAGAAGAAGAAGAAGAAGAAGAAGAAGAAGAAGAAGAAGAAGAAGAAGAAGACATGGCATACATTATACTGTAGTAAAGTTGTAGTAAAATCGTAGAAAAATTATACTGTAGTAAAATTATATAAATAGAATACAATTTTTCTATGATTTTACTACAACTTTACTACAGTATAATGTATTTATTTATTTATTTACTACAGTATATATTTATTTATTCTACAATATTTATTTATTTAAATATTGTATGAAAGTTGAACAATATTGTATCAAAATTATATTTAAGTTGTATGATATTGTAGTTGTATATAACTGGACAGAAATAATGTATGAAAGTTGTAGATAAGTTG